TGATTGCTATCAAGTTTTTTCAAACTTTTTGCAGTAAATCAATAAATAAAAAAATAATATTTAATATATACACGTTTAGTAAAAATTATATGTAATGAAATAATTAAACTCAATAAAAGATTTAAGTAAACGCTTGTAATAGTTGTTAACTAATAATGGGAAATATATCCATATAGACACAATTAAACGAATTCATCCGTCTCTTTCTTAGAACGAAAATCTTCCTTTCATTCAAAGGAAACTTATCCATTTCCTTGGATTTATTAATTTTCCGGTTCAACGCCTCTAATGATTTGAGAATTTTAACGTAATTACATCCTGAGATATTATTTGGTAAAGGCATCGATATATAGATACTAATAATATCAGTTTATTGGCGATCATTACAGACAATGAATAATTGATTTGAGATAAAAATTATTTATATAATAATTTTTAAATAATTTTGTATCATGTGTGAACATGATGCTGTCCTGGTTAGGAATTCGTTATGTTATCCGAAAATGAGGGCCCGGCAAATAAAACACCATTACAAATTTTGGCAGAAAAACTGAGTGCTCTTAACTCTTGAAATTAATGAATAACGTTAATCTTAAGCATTTTCTGGAAATTTTTGATTCAAATGTTTTGTAGTATGGTTTTGAATCACTTTTCCTATTTTGGGTTGGAATTTTATACATTTGTATTTCCAATTGCTTTAAGTACTCGTAGTGCGTTGATCAATTCCTTCTACTGGAAGTTTCATATTTATCACTATTGACATTTTCGCATGCCTATTGAGCTGTATAGTGTTTCTTATTGTATTTGGAATACTTCTTTATTCATTTACGCCTATAATTTTCAAACTTTGATATATCCTTTTGGCTATTGAATGTGATAATGTTTCCTGTCCATGGGAATACTTCCTTCTTCATTTACGACTACATTATCTTACTTTTGAATATTCTTTTAGATAATTTTGAACAATTTCTTCTTCATGAAGTTCTTGATCTACTCAACATCGTTATATCCATGTGGCTATTGAATTTGACCATTCTTATAGTATTCCAATCAATTGCTTTATATACCTCTTGCATTATTAAACATGGGCAAATTATTCATCCGTTCTCGAATGTTCACATATGATAAGTTGAAATTTGCCGAGCAGCTTTCAGCATTATTTTATGTTGTATTTTAATTGTTTTCTCATAGCATTTAATATTATTTTAGTCTTAGACATTTAATTGGAATTATTCGTCATTGATATAATAGATCCATAAAAGTTTCATAAGTTATGATGTGGGTAGTTACACAGCATATGCAATACGTGTACCTAAAATACCCACACACCCAGACCAAAAAGCAATGAAAGTTTGTGGCAAAATTAATAATAATTTAAAATTTTCTTCTACATATAATCACTAATTTTAGCATTTTAACTTGTAGAAAATCGTAATTTTAACATTTTTCTAAAAGCAAGTCTCAGGAATTCCTTAATATATATATCTAAGTACATTAAGTCTATTATATCTAATGAAAATCATTTTAAGTGTGCAAATTTAAAATACTGTATTGGTTTTACTCTTTGTAGTTTATATGAATTAATTTTTCCTGAATTGAAAAAAAAAAGGTAATGTTAAATTAATTTACACAGACTCACAAATTTGAAAATCATTCTAAATGAAATCAAATTCAGTAAATCATTTTAAGTGTGCAAATTTAAAATATTGTATGGGTCTTACGTTTTGCTTCATAGATTACATTAATTAATTTCAGTTTGAATTTAAATAAATTTAAATAAAAAGATAATATTAAATTAATTTATTCAGATTAAAAAAATTAATTTAACATCTTTTTTCTTTCAATTCAAATAAAAATTAATTATTGTGAGCTCTAAAGCAAAGAGTAAGAACAAATAGTTTTGTGTTTGAATTTAAAGAAAAAGTTAATGTTAAATTAATTTATTCAGATTTACATCATTTAACTTTGGTAAAAAAAAAGGCTAGTGAAATTTGAGTCATAAAAAACTATACATTAATTAATGTTATAATATTATGAAAAGCTGCACACTATGGAGTTAATACTGCACACGAACATGATTACAATCTTAAAATAAGCTTATTATCTTGTAATTTCTTTAAGCTTGCATTTCTATTAGTTTTACTACCCATAAATTCCTCTGTACCAAATATAACTTTTATGAATTCAAAATAAGTAAGTTTTAACAGAAATCATTAAATTAAGTAACAAACAGAAATACAGTAATATATCATTAAGAATATATTAAGAAATCTCCTTTATTCTTGCTCACAGTAAATCTTTCAACTTTCAAATGCAGTCATATTCATGATTCATAACCTAAAATTACTTCAAACTTCAAACTAAGATTAAAAATTTCTGAAAATGACACAAACGAATTGTTTTCAAGTCTTTAAATTTATCTACATTGAAAAAAAAACGATAACCTTTTTTTGTCTGTATGTATGTGACCTTAAGAAGAAAATTTGTTTAAAAAAAAAAAAGACTAATTATTTTTCTTTAAACTGTCTAGTTTGTCACATTAGTCAAGTTTCCCACGAATTTGGTAGATCCATCTATTTCAATTAAATTCTTTTTTTTTTTTTTCTTTTTTTTTTTTTTTTTTTGAGTTAGAAGTAATGAAAGACAAACCACTTTTTTTCCTATTCTTTTAGATTCTTTTTTTTTTGGTGGGTTTTTCTATTAAAACTGACGAAAGGGATTCATTTAGAAGATAAAAAAAAAAAGAACAACCGAACAAGGGTCTTAGGAAAGATTTCATTACTCATATTCCCGTTGTCTAAGCTTTAAACTTTAATTATAATGGAATGATTAAAAGAGTAAAAGAGGCGAACAGTAATCATTTCAAAAATACAACAACTTTACATTAAAATGCACTCCGGTGAAAGAAATCATTTGTAAAAAGAATTTTCATTTTTGAGGGTCTTAATGGTTAAAAAATGTAAATAAAGTAATTACAAGTGAATTAATTTTTTTCGTATTAGTTCTTTTTTTAGTTGTAGAAAACTTGTTTTGAAACTCACTGTTCTGAGTTTAATGAAAATTATCGATCGTTTGAATGTTTATTTTATGAAGAAAACAGCCATTCTACAACTCAAAGTTTCCCAGACGGATAAATGTTTATAACAAATAAATGTAAACAGATAAATGCTTTTAAATAATAACATTTAAAAAGTTGTTTTTCTAAGGCAGGGATGCACACAGCATGTCTCATCATATACCCATATTACTTTAAAACAAGTAATATAAAAAAAAACAAAATTAAGTCGATTCCTACTTTATTTCACTATATTGCAGAAAGTCCTTTATAAATAATTTACATTCATTTTTTAAAATTTATCTGGCGCCATCTACTATTAGATATATGCTACTTAAATCTAAATCTAAAATTAAATTTAATTACTGAATTAATATTTGAAAAACTATATTAACATCAAGTATCATCCACTACACGTTTAAAAAATGTATTTGAATTTGAGTGGATGAATAAAAAGTATTTTATGAACGATTGAAAATTTGAACAAGATATATATAGGGAGAGTGTGAGCTAATAGAAGGAATTGAAAAAATAATAGTTTTTTCCTGAAGATTTTCAATTTTGATGAAAGATAAAAATATGGAACATAATCCCGCTATAATTTAATTATAAAATATATAAATATTAAAATATATTTTATTTAACGTTTTATAACATATTCAAAAATCGATCTTTTTAATGTTTATTATGCGAAGAGAATGGCCATTCTACAACTCAAAAAATATTAAAATAAATAAATGATTTTAAGTATTAGTATTTAATAATAATAATATTTAAAAAGTTTTTTTCTAAGGCTGGGATTCCCAAACCATGTCTCAGCATATGTCCATATCACTTAAAAAAGTAATAAATAATATTTTGAAAGACTTTCCAATTTGGAACAAAAGATTAAAATACCTGAGATACCTAAAGATATAATCCTGAGGTAATTTAATAAAAATTATTTAAATATTAAAAAAATATTTTATTCAATGATTTATTATAGAGTCGAAGATAAGGATCTTACCAAATAGCGAGCTGGTTTTGGATGGAAGATCACTATTTATTTTTTTTTTTTTTTTTTTTTTTTTTGATTTTACAATGTCTATATCGAAAAACGTATTCCTTTTTTCAACTTTTTTTGTATTAGATAATTATTTTTTATCATTTATCACAAAACAAAAAAAATGTCTGTAATTTTAAATTCTTTTTGTGTGTTTCCCAAGGTAAAATTACATTGATTAATAACAGTCCATCGAATTAACAAATATCTGTATTCCATTTTGTTTTTAAATAACACTGAATATTCGTCAAATATGTTCTGTATTGTTTGATTAAGAAAAAAATAAATGAATATATACAAGTTTTTTTTTTTAAAATACGGTTGTTGTAGTTACTGATTGCAAACATTTCATCTGGTGTCATTTACCAGTTGAAAACAATTATGTAACAAATTCAACATTACTAGGTGTGCTCCCTTGGCACTTAGTGCTACACTGTAAGCACATCTGATGATCATAGAAGTGACTCTTAGGATCTTGCGTCCTTCTTCTTTTCTCCTGAAGCCAAACCGAAGGAATTTCTGCCATATAAGCCGATATTTTTGCCGATATTTCGGCCGATCTTTCTCATTTCTGGCAGCTTGATAGATAGCATAAGCACACATACGAGTATGTTTGTTGTTGTTTCTTATCCCACTTAGCTGGCCAAGCCCACGAGCCCATACGTACTTATGATTGAAGGGGAAGGAAGCAGCTTCTGTTGTGATGGAGCACCCCGTAGGTAGAAGTCTGACTTTGGCTCCGTGACGCTCTTACAGTCATAGGAGACCGGGACCTACGGTTTAAAGTGGATTCGAACCACTACAAACATCCGTGGCACAGCCGGGATTCGAACCCGAAATCTGTGGCATCGTGCGCCAGAGCGCTAGACACTCGGCCATTCAGGTCCCAAATTTGTGAATGCCAACGGCACGCGGTGTTCCAGGTGGTCACCCACCCAAGTACTGACCGCGCCCAATGATGTGACTTCGGTGACCCCTACACCTACCGCGTATACCCCAATGATGGGCTAAAACCTTTGGAACGGAACCCTTTCATTCGAATGACTTCGGTGATCTAACGAGAACCGGTATATTCAGCATGGTATGCCGTTGGCTCATACGAGTATAGTGCCAATAATATCGATCAGAATAGTGTGGCATAGACACAGAAGATTTCAGCTTGGCATCATTTGTCAGGTTTGAAATAAACTTCATTAATTATACTCAATACACTATCCATCAGACTGTTCCGGTTTATTTTATTTAACGAATAAATATTTTGTGTAAAAAAAGAAAACCTGGATTTTATCGTTGAGTGAGCATTGACATATTTAAATTTCCTACTGAAAATATTATTTCTAGAATATTTTTATAATTTAAAACTAATATACTCTTAAAATTAAGTGTACAAATTTATGGATTTATTTTAATTTGTAAGGACAGCGAGGCTTCATGAATCTTTGAATTACATAAGATGTTCAAGAACATGAAATTTCATGAATATATGAAATATACGAAATTGCCCATGAGTATATGAAATATAGGAAGCAATATAAATAATATACGAAACTGTTTATGGGTATATAAAATGTACAAACCTTTTTCATGAGTATATGAATCGTCTTTAGTATCTGAAATATACGAAGCTTTGTATGAAGCCTGCTTTGGATCAGAAGTGTATAAAGCCTCATGTGTATTAAAATATTTTATTAAGAATATTATTTGTATGAGAAGTGTATGACACTTTTCAAGGAATATTTGAACTACACATACTTTTTCATGATTATACAATTCATGGAAAAACTGTTATTTAGATATATAAAGTGCACAAAACTGTTCTTCAGTATATGAAATATACTAAAGATGTATTTGATATATTGAATGTTGATGCGTGTTTTGAGTTTTTCAAAACCTAATGAAAATATTCTTTATTTACAAATAATGCACATATATAAAAGTTACATTGACTTTTAAATACTGTATTGGTATTTTTAAATAATTCATTGGTTTAGTCATTTTTAGTGGCGTTTAAAATGACCAAATCTTAAACCAGGTTAAATTTCGAATTTTGTTTAGCTGTTATATATCTATTATTTGAAAACTTCATTCAAAATAATTCTTCATTTTGCAATATATATATATATATAAATATATATATATATATATATATATATATATATACACTGAAGTGACAAAAGTCATGGGATAGCAATATGCAAATTTTCAGATGGCAGTAGCATCGCGTAGAACAGGTATAAATGCGCAGTGCTTTCGCAGAGCTTTCATTTCTGTTCAATTTATTCATGTGAAGAGGTTTTGACGTGATGATGACCGCACGACGAGAATTAACAGACTTTGAACGCGGAATGTTAGTTGGAGATAGACGCATGGGTCATGCCATTTCGGAAATCGTTAGAATTCAACATTCCCAGATCCACTGTGTCAAAAGTATGCCGAGAGGGGTATGAAATTTCAGGCATAACATCCCACCATGGACAGCGCAGTGGTCGACCGCCTGCACTTAACGACCAAGACCGGCGACGTCTGCAAAGAGTCGTAAATTCTAACAGACAAGCAACACTGCGTCAAATAACCGCAGAAATCATGTGGGACGTACAAGGGACTTGTCTGTTAGAACTGTGCGGAGAAATTTGGCCTTCTTGGGCTATTCAAGCAAAAACCGACTCGAGTGCCCTTGACAGAACGACATCGCTTTCTTGCAGCGACCTCTCGTGGGCACGTGAGCATATCGGTTGGTCCCTAGATGAATGGAAAACCGTGGCCCTGGTCCGATGAGTCACGATTTCAGCTTGGTAAGATCTGATGGTAGGGTTCGAGTGTGGTGCAGACCCCACGAAGCCATGGACCCAAACTGTCAGCAAGGCACTGTTCAAAGCTGGTGGTGGCCCAATGTGTGGGATGTTTTTTCATGGCATGGACTTGGTTCTCTGGTGCGACTGGACCGAACATTGACTGGAAATGCTTTTGTTAAGCTACTTGGAGAACTTGCAGCCATTCATGGACTTCCTGTACCCAAACAACGATGGGATTTTTTTGATGACAATGCGCCATGTCACCGGCCACAACTGTTCGCGATTGGTTTGAAGAACATTCTGGACAATTCCAACGAATGATCTGGCCACCTAGATCGCCCTACATGAATCCCATCGAGCATTTATGGGACATCATCGAGAGTTCTGTTCGTGCCGAAAATCCTGCACCATCAACGCTTTCGCCAATTATGGACGTCTATCGAGACAGCATGGCTCAATATTCCTGCAGAAGACTTCCAACGACTTGTTGAGTCCATGCCACGTCGAGTTGCTGCAGAACGTGCTGCGAGTTGCTTGCGAAAAGGAGGGCCGACACGATATTAAGAGGTATCCCATGACTTTGTCACGTCAGTGTATATATATATATATAAACACTGCTCTAAATATGTTTAAAAATACGTTTTACAAATGTATATATATTAAATTATTAAACAACTGTTTGTTTATAAATGATTTTTATAAGATAAAGATAATTTCAGTGATATACATATTTTAACTTAATTATATTAATAAGAAGTTAAAAATATAATATTTATCCTTCTAAAAGCTCAGAGAACTTTTATTAAAATGTTAAAATTATATTATTTGGTGGATCTGCAAAAATAAGAAATTCATGTTTAATTTGAAGTGAAACAATTCTATAATTTTTGAAAGTAAATGCTTTTCTATCAAAAAAATTAAAAATTTTCAATATGTAACATTACATTACACAAATATTTACTCAAGGATTTTAAATGTTTTATTAAAATTTACTGACTTTAATTCAACACTTTTTACCTTTTTAAACATTTATTAAAACTAATTTAGTTTTAATTGCATATTAAAATTAAATTTGCATAATTTATTAATAATATTTGAACAAATTATTTTATCAAACAAGATTTTTCTTTAACATTAAAAAATGTTTTGAAAATTGAATTTAATTAAACAAAAACACCATCTTACCATATTTTAATTAAACCTGATAGATATTTATAATGAAATTTCTTTCTAGTATTCTATAAATAAGTGGTTCATTACTTATAAAATAAATCATAAATTTTCAATATTTATATTTGTGTATGAGGAAATAATATATTGATGAGGATAAAACATTTAATTTTAACTTTTCACTTGCGAAATACTACAGTACTTTTATTCTTAAGGTAATAGGATATAAATCTGTTAAAATATCACAACAACAGATTAACGAATATTATTTTTTTCAACTTTGGCAGAGTTTTTCTCCCCACAAAATACAATCTTCTCAAAGTACAGGGGGAAAGCGATTAAATACTGCCTTACTGATTTAGAAGAAAAACTATATAAAGCTCAGCTATCTTATTGTGAAATGAAAAAACTAGAGAATCCTAACCTGTTAGTGTAAACTGGATTTAATATATATATATATATTACAACAACAGGCATTTATATAATGCAATAAAGGTTTATTCTTTCTCCTAGAAGAACTGACTTAGTAAATAAAATTTCGTTCCACTTATCGAATTAAAATTTCAGTTTCATTCCATTTCACTGAATAGTCCTCAGAATCTGTTGTCTGGGTTATATTTATTTCCCGCATTTATTTTCTCCCATTTCTTCATCTCTTTTTTTGGCTAGTTTGGTTCACTGATTATAGTATTATATTCAGGTTTTTAATAATATCCTTTTAATGCAGTTTTTACAAATTTGGATGCAGACAAGTGAAACTAATTTATTTGTATTAAATTTCAATTGTAAATTTAAAGCCATTTGAAAATAATTTTGTAGAACATATTTGGAGTTATTTTAAGCAAGAAATTGAGTGTTTATATACATTGATATACACATATAAATACACTGTAGATATCTTTAAGCTCATGTTTACAAATGTATATACATAAAAATTATTAAGCACTGAATATTAGTTAAACATTATTTATATTAGTTGAAAATTAATTAATTAAATTATTAGTTTGTGTATGAATGGTTAAAAATGTCTCTTTCATAATATTACTTAAAAATAGTATAGATATACGTGTTTAATTAGCTGCCTTCATTTAAGTGATATCCAAATTTTTTTTAACTAAATTAGATTAAAAGAATTTGAAAATATAAGAATTATTCTACAAAACCTTTGGAGAACTTTTTTATTAAAATATCGAAAATATTTTTATTTGTTGTTAGTATGCAAAAAATGAGAATTGATGTTTATTTTGAGGGGAACAGTTTCATAGTTTCTGAAAAGTAAATGTTTTTTTATCAAAAGAAAAAAATCAAAAATCTAGAAGGAAAAACTTGATAAAAACCAACACAAGTATTTAGAGATTAGAAAATATAAATATAAAGTTATAATACTAGAAGGAAAAAATATAATGTTATAATTTAAATATAACACTGAGATTTAAAAATTTTTATTAAAAACAAACTTAATTTTGATTGCACGTTAAAAGTAAATTTACATAATATATATTAATAATATTTAAATAAATTATTTTATTAAACAATATTTTTCTTTTAACATGAAAAATAGTTTGAAAATTGAATATAGTTTAATAAAAAAAAAAAATAACCATATTTAATTAAACTTGATAGATATTTTTTAATGAAATTTCTTGTTAATAATCTATAAAATAAGTGGTTCATAGTAAATAAATTATACATTTTAAATATTCATATATTTCTGTATTCAAAGAATAATATATTGATGTTGATAAAGTATTCAATCTGAATTTTTCACATACAAATGCATTTTGCATTCTACTTTAATTCTACTTCATTATACTTATACTTTAATTATACATTATACTTATACATTAATTATACATTATACTTATACTTTAATTATACATTATACTTATACTTTAATTCTTATAATCATACTTCCTTATACTTGATTATACTACTTAATTATATACTTTTAATTATACTTCTACTTTTATTAATTAGTAAATATTAATATTTAAAATATTTATATTTCTATATTCGGAAATAATATATTGATGATGATTTGTCTATTTGCCAGCTGTATTAGAAAAAAATGAAATAATATTAAATCTTAACTTTTCAATACTACAGTACTTTCTATTCTTAATG